AGGATGTACCAGCTGTGGTGGAGAAGGAACTGGATTGAGACCTGTTCCACGCAGGGCCCTAAACAGTCCCTGGATGGCAAGAGCTATTGGCCATTACCAGCTTGTCATGAACTTGCCTGCGGAGACCTGGATGTGAAAGGTTCAGGACTCTGCCACCCTCTCTCTGAGATAGATGTTTTAAGGGTAGTGTTAGGATTTTGGTAAATGGCAGCGTGAGAGAAGGATCTCTGAACTCAAGCAGGGAAATCAATCCCAGTTAAGAGCAAAAATAGCATAGGAATTAGAGATAACGAATGTGAATCGTCTAGGTCTAGTAGTGTTCCTCGGAAAGTCTCCTTGACACAACAATTCTCAACACACAGCAGCACTCCGGTTGTGACCAAAAGTGAAAAATGGACAGTGGCGAATGGTTAGTTTATTAGTAACTTTATAACCCTGGAAGTAATTTCTCTGCATTTCACAGAGTCATAGATTTTAAGGCCAGAAGGAACCAGTGATCATCTAGTTTGACCACCTGCCTACCACAGGCCATAAAATTTCCCTGGAAGAATTCCTGTTTGAATGCGAGGAGTCCTTTTAGAAAAAACATGCTGTCTGGATTTAACAATTGCCAGCGATGGAGAATCTACTGCAACCTTGGGTAAATTATTCCAATGGTTAATTTCCCTCCCTTCTGAAATGTCCTGCCTTGTTTCCAGCCTGAATTTGTCTAGCTTCAAGGTGGTGGATCGTGTTTTACCTTTCTCTCCCAGGTTTTCTGGCTAATATATTCTCTAAAACCAATTCATTCCAGGGTACCTTGTTCTTGGGGATAGTCGCAATGAAAGCAATGAGAACAACAAGCAGGATTTAGGTACCGATTTGGGCCCAATTATCTTTTCTATCAGGATTTTTTTTTTTATTCTAACCATGTTACTGTAGCACCATCCTGGCCAAGCACTGTGAGATTTTGGAGCAGATGGGCCAGTCTGAATCAGCACTTACCTATGGTAAGTTCTGTGCCATTGCCAATGAGCAGCTTCGAGTTGTAGGAGACAGTGCAGTAATATGTGCCTGCGTCCAAATGCTGAAGCCCGCTGATCCTCAGTGTCTGCGAGTTCCGAAAGCTTTCTTTAGTCACAGTAAACCTGCCTTTGTCGATGTCGTTGCCATGGGTATGTTTGTTCAAAACAGTTGCATATAATATATACTGGAAGTCTTGGCTCTTCTGGCTCCATCGGTACCAATAGACTCCTAACTGGGAAAGCTGTTCACTTTTCATTGTACAGAATATTTCAGTCGTACTGTTGTTCAGGGCTATGATACGTCCTGGAGTCTGAAATAAAATTGGAGTTTTCTGGCAACCTACCAGGGAGAAGATAACATGATTATGGTCAACATACATATCTCTGCACATTAAATAAAGGATTTCTTTATGAGCATAGTCATTTATATGGGGGGGTCACACAAAATAGAAATGGACCAGACCTATTAGGAAATCTAGCCCCTATATCATGCTAGTGTTGGATTGTTTCCTATTAATTTTCTTGCCATTCCAGTTTAATTGATACTATCATGGTTGCTGCACTACAGATACCCATCTAGCCAGGCAGAAGATCACAGCTAACTAGCTCTATTTCTAGTCTCTTTTCCAGTTCACTTTTTAAAATGTCCATCAATAAGACTTCCACGTTTTACGTAAGGAGATTTTTTTTTTTTTTTTTTTGCCATTCCTTATCTTCAGTGCTTTGGCCATTCTTTGGGCCAGGTTCAGGTTTTTTTCTGCCAGTTCTTTTCGCTCCTATTTGCTTGCGCATTGGATATTCTCTGGCTGCAAAAGCAGCAAAGAGTCTGAGGATGATTCTAGATAAGGTATCAAAACCTATACAAAGAAGAACCACAGCTCATTCAAGTGATAAATGCAACGAGCAACACACATAAATATATACAACATACTGAAATCAGTGGGAGCTGCAGGCTCTTGGCTCCGCATGGGATCTGGTCCCCTTTTGATTTTTATCCATGAATATGCATTTAGTCACACTAACAGTTCTACCATGGACCAAATCCTCAACTGGTGTTAAAACAGAATAGCTCTACTAACATTAGTGGAAAGTTGCCAATTTATACTGACTGATGATTTCACCAAACTGCTTCAGTTGTTTAATTATGGATGAGTACGACCAGTGATTTGGTGGTTGAGATGGGCATTTATTTCACTTATTCCCTTGCTTGTTGCATATGATGGACTGTGAGGATTTGGAGTTTTGCACGCGCCAGAATTAAAATCAAAATAGATAATAAATAAGAGCCAGAGGCTGATCTCACTCACACTGAATAGCATCGTACTCTGTGAATTATCTCTTAAGAGATAGTCAATAATACCTGTATGTGCATTGAGTTATACCTTACTGCTCAGTGTCTCCCACTGTTCTCCGTGGAGCTATGTGAGGCGTGAGGTCCTACTTAGTGGGACTATTGGTTGCAGTCTTTCCCAGTGATTTCATTGGGAATATTGGTGGAGAATGGTGCTACCCTAAGTACCGTATCTAACCTTTTTACTTTCTTTTCTTTTACTTACTTTTTACTTACTTTATTTTTGAGACCACCAAGTGACAAAATGATTCCATACTGTGAATCTTCTTAGTTGGAAACATGAGCAACATGCGAGATCGGCTGCTCAACAGTAATATTAACTCTCAGTTTTGCCAACTCTCATGATGTTATTGTGAGTCTCATGATATTTAGAGAGGTTTTGTTTGTTTGTTTTTGTTTTGTTTTTTTGGTTAAAGCTCCGGTGCCTGTAGCCAGGAGATTATGTGAGACTTTCAGCTTTGTAACGTGTTTTAAGCCTTCATGATCACAGAGAAAAGCTGGAAAATGAGTCTTCACACACTCAACAACAAGCAGGAAAATATAAAAGGAAGCCAATTTCATTATTGAGCTTCATACCTACTTTGCAATGTGCAGGGCTTGACTCCCATGGGTTTTTCAGTGCTTAGGGTTGGCATTACTGAACTCAGCCTTTGCAAATATTGCCTCCGCTACGATGTTGTGCCTTGGTGTGCGTGTGTCTGTGTGGGTGCGTATGCACTTGTGTGAGGGAACTCAGTTTTTCAACAAACAAAACAACAAATTCTGGATATGATGCATCAGCGTAAAAACAAGACTGAACCATCAAGAGCCACTTATTTCCTGTGCATGTTCTAAAGGCCCTGCCCTTGGTAATCTTGTCTCCATAGCTTGCTCCTTTGCTTTGAAGTGCTCATGTTCTTTAAAAAATCCTGGCCTCATTTACAGTAATGTTTGGTAGTAATAACACTTAGGCCCTTATCTTGCACACGGAGCCACACACATGTGCACCTGTACAGAGCCTGTTGGATCTCAGCGAGTCTTCAAGTGGAACCTCATTTATCTGCCCCCCTTTCCCCTCCATGGATGAAGCAGGCTGCCTGATTGGGTCAGATTGCAGGACTGATGTCTTGACTTTGACATAGGACTTTTGGCCTTCCTAATGCTTTACAGATATTGGGAGCCAGCCAGCTTCAAAGCTGGTATAAGTGATGACAGCCGCATAGACATTAATCCAGCTCTGCATCTGATGCACTGTAGTGGGGAATTTGACTACTGCTGGTAGTTACTACTTTAATTTTTAATTCTCTGCCATCTGAGCCAGCACTGACTTAACAATATGCTTACTTGATCTATGAATGCATCTGAGAGGAACGCTTCAGCTCTCCTTGCCCTGGTCTGCACTAGGGAGTTATGTCGAAATAACTCCTCTTTTTTGGAAATAATAAGCAGAGCTTCCACACTATCAAGCCTGTTATTTTGAAATAAGGGGCTGGTTATTTTGAAATAATAACTCGTGCTTTCCACAAGAAATAGTGCTTATTTCAAAATAGTGATTTCAAAATAGCGGTGTGCTGACACTCCACTGCTGCCATTTAGAAATAACTACTCCCCAAGAGTCGTTTAAAGTAATTACTCCCCAGTGCTTCCTGAGACTCTAAGTCAAGGTAGCGCATCCACATTAAGGGAGCCTGACTTGGAGTAAGTTCAAGGCTTCCCTGTAGTGTGGACACGCTATTTTGAAATAGTTATTTTGGGAGTTATTATTTTGACTAAATAAGTTGTGATTAAATAAGTTGTTTCAAAATAATTTCCTACTGTGGACATGCCTCTCATGGCAAACAAAAAGCCAAATTTGGGCGTGCTTATTTAGGAAAATTTCCCATTGGGTCAGTGGGCATTTTGTCTCAGAAAGGATTTATGAAATATGAGCACTATTTATTGACATAGGCCTAAATCTTTTTTGGCTTCCTCATGTTAATAGTTCCCTCGATGTCAATGCACTGAGGAAGGCAAACCGAATGTAGTCTATAAAAATTATATGCCTGTGATTTTACAGGATGGTTCCCGTTCTCTCTCTCCAAAATTTCTGACACGATGAAACAAAAATGAGGTGAAGGGACAGACAGCTGTGCTGTAATATAATGCGATGATGCATTGAATCCCAACCCTGCAAATCCTTATTCTGGCCAATACTTCCTTGTGCCTGCAAAATCAATGGGACTACTTGTGCAAAGTTTTTCAGGATCTGACCCATGTAAAGCTTGCTGGGTAACCATTTCATTTATAGATTCCAAGGCCAGAATGAACCATGGTGAATATTTAGTCTGAACTCCTGTATAACACAGCTCATAGAATGTCCCTGTAATAATTCCTAGAGCAGATCGTTTAGAAAAACTTCCCAATTTCAATGTAAAACCGGTCAGTGATGGAGAATGTAAATTGTTCCATTAGTTAATTACCCTGTTAAAAATGTATGTCTTATTTCCGCTTTGATTTGGTCTAGCTTTAGCTTCCAGTCTTTGGATCATATTATACCTTTCTCCGCCTCACTGAAGAGCCCATTATTAAATACCGGTAATTTTGATGTCTCTACTCCTGGTTGTTCTGCCCTTCTGCACCCTGAACTATGTGGCCACCTCAACATTCATAAAAAGAAAAGGACCCATTTCATTGCCTGCCCTTGCAGAGATTACTGTGTATTCAGGATGGGACTTTCCAGAATTGGCCTATCTCTGCTCCCATTGAAGTCAGTGATAAAACTCCCATTGACTTGAAGGGGAGCAGGGTTAGAACAACGCTGAGTGCATTTGAAAATCTCACTGTATGTTGTCTTGGATGCTAGCACAAAAAATATATTACTGGCTCTACTTGAAGTTACTGCTAGATCTCTGCCAAAGTTGTTCTTTTCATAGACCCTCATCCTAATTTGTCCATGTTCCTGAATAAGGGTAGCACAGAAGAATTTGCATGTCAGACAGATTCTTTCCATACCTCTCTGGAATAAATTATAATAGAGCACTTATCTTTACGAATATTCATTTGCAGTCAAAATCCATATTAAAAACCAGTGAATTTTCCTCTCAAACATTAGAAGCATTTAGCAGTTTTTAAGGTGTGTTTGGAATTTCTCCAGGTGCACATGTGACCAGATTTCATTTGAAACTTGTTTCTGTCACCTCTAAATGTATTTAATTATTCCTTCCTTTGACTCCCAACATTCTGTCCTGACTAACATTCACTGCAACCTCATTATAATCAATAGAATCATAGAGACTGTAGAATAGTCAGGGAGAATTTTTCCCTGGAAAGAATAAATACAATGATATGCGGTGCCTGATCAGAAAAAAACCCAACTGAATAAACAAAACAAAAAACAAACCACCCAAACCCCTCAAAAAACAATCAAAACCCTGGTTCCATAAGGTGTAAGTTTATGATGTACATCTGTATTCTTATAATAAACCAACAATGAAGCATTTGATGCAGTACATAATGTAGCTATAAATAATATTCTAATATAAATATGTAATATACCTATACATAATACTCTCATATAATGTGTCTATATCTATATCTATCTAATTATTGGCAATTCTATAGTTCACAACACCTTAGTATGTAAACACTATCCAATACTGCAGCTGTGATATCCTATGACTATAGTATATATTTAATATATCTATATATGAGATAAAATATGACATACTGTAGTATATTTATAGTATATTAATATTTTCTGTGGTTCTATGGGGCGAATCCAGCCATTACACGTGTGTCAATGTACTCTCTCTGTATTTTTAGAGCCTCCCGTGACTATATTATCTCAATAATTGGAGATATATGATGATTTAAATAATTACAGAATTTCAGCTTTTGATTCCTGAATATACTCTATTTCAAATCGATAACATCCTATAATAGATCAATCCTAATAGCTCTGAAATAAAATAATCCTAACATGTCTGGCACATTGGTCTATAAGATTATACAGTAGATATGTACTACATACATATATATATAATGTAAATACAGTACTTCTATAACCTACTGTAATTTATCTACATTAGAAACATCCCATACTGTATCTGTGCTATAACATGATAGAGGCGAGGGGGGTTACAAAGTTGCCACAGCACTTTGCATCCTCCCAGGCTTCTGCACTCCAAGTTCCTTTCTAATTCACACCACATCAAGGCCTTGCCAGGTTCTTGTGTTACCTGCGATGTGCAGCACAAGGTAGAGAAAGAGCCACGGCCATTCCATCTTGGACCTGCGGGCACCTGAGAGCTTGTGAGTTTCAGCCTGGGACAAGAGGGCTTGTGAGTGTGCTGAAGCAGGGGGAGTGGTAGGGGCGGGCCGTGTGACAGAGCCCACAGCCTGTGTGTGAGCTGCTTCTCATTAGCCCCCCTAGCAAGGCAGCTGACGAGGGACACGTGGTTAATTAACTTATTTGTGCACTCTTTTAAGATGTTAATTCATACATAACCCACCTGGGACTGGGAAGCAGACACATGGCTTGCTAGGGGAACATGAAGCATGGGAACATGAAGTGTAATGTTATTGCCATGTAGATTTGCACATACGGCGCTCTCTTCCTCTTCCCACACGTATGTGCTCTGGCTCCTAGCGCTGCAGCCTATTGTCAGCAGGGTCTTTTTACTATTCCAGGGAATTCTGTAGCAACTCATACAGCCATTGAGGTCACTGTGGCTGTAGCTGAGATCAGAGTCCAATTCTGTAGCACAGCATGGGGGAGCTAGAAATATCCTTCTTGAGCTCTGGTCCCTGCTCCATCTCCAGAGTTGGGCTTGCCTACTCCCTCTTTCACACCCCAAACCTCCTGATATTTGTGTGGAAGTATCAGATGGAGGGATCCATAGCAGAAGGATGATCTCTTCCCTTCTTTGGGGAGTTCCCAGCAGCAACTGCCAGATGGATGGCAGAAGAGATAGACCAAAAGAGGGTCCAGATGCAAAGATGGTGCACCTCTTTCCAAGCCTCACACAGAGCTTGCCTGACAGCGTGTTTTCTGACCAGCCCTCAGCGCTGTTTTTACTGCAGCTGAGAACAGCGAGGGAAATTAAGTCTCATTTCCAGGGTCTGTTCATACATGCAGATTGGAGAGAAAAGCACTAAATGAAGCGCACTGAAGCGGCCAGAGAAATGCAAAGACTCCCACTCACTTTGCTGGATTATATCAGGCTTCATGAAAGCACAAATATTAGACCAAGAACTTAGTCGTATTTATGTGTGTGTGCTTCGCACCAAGTAAGCTACTGGAGCAAGCCACTGGGTTGTTTTTAACCATTCGTCATTCAAGAACAGCCAATTTGAAGGTGCTTAGACTTAATGTAACATATTCACAGCAAATAAGTGCAGCTATGAAGGACCAAACCAGGCTCCCAGAAAAATCCCAGAGAATCCTACCCAGCTTAATTCGCTGCCAAGGCTTGTCAGCGCTGAGCCTTGGCATCACTAGGCTTCGCAATTCATAGCTCCAGCACCTCAAGTCTTGCCACATCAGTTATGAAAGTAAAAAACTTGCTTCAACCCCGGCTTCTCTTTCATTACTGGTCACAGATCTTTCCCCCTAAACAGCTTATTTTTCTGAGGCACTGGGAGTAGGTTGATCATATTTTCCCAAAGGGAAAATAGGACACTGCATTGGGGTGGCCCAAGGCCTAGCCCTGGTCCCCTACAAGGCCCCTCCCAACCTTCCCTGCCTCCTGCCCCTGTGGGGCTGCTCCAAGGTCTTCCTCTTCTGCCCCCCTATCCTGCTGCCTGCCTGCTGGGGACTACCTGTGCCCTCCACAGGATTTTCTGCTGCCATCCTCTCCTGAGTAGCGTTGCCAGGTGTCCAGTTTTTGCCTGGACAGTCCGGTATTTGTGGCCCCTGTCTGGTAGAAAACCCAGAAAATCCCAGACACCTAAAATATTTGGTATTTTCTGTTTTCCTCGGACGGAAGGCTGCGAGGGACATTCTTCCCCTGCTGCATCTGGCAGGGGCAGGAAGAGCAGGGGGATTTAATGGTGCAATGCCCCCCCCCTTTTTTTTGCTCAACAAC